TATATATATATATACCTGCGCCTTGTATCCCTATGATTATTATCTTGTGTGTTTGCATTACAATTATTATTATTATTACTATTATTATCATTACCATTATTATTATTATTATTATGCAAGTACTGTATTACTATTCTTATTTACTTCATTATCTATGTCTATATTTATTCAAATAAGAGAGAATTCAAATTTATTCTCTTTTATATCGTTGTCTGCAGTAATACAGCGCCTCCAGCTTTCGTTTTCATTAAAAACAAAAAGCTAATAGAGTTTGGTTTCTACGTTTTTCTGTTTATTTATAGTTTGATTTGTATAGACACTTAGGTAATAGCATTGTTTGATATTGTTTGCTGCAATTCTTATATATTATTTGAACTGAAGAGAGGTAAATAGACGGAGATATGTCTGTGAGATTTGAATTCTTTGAAACGGAAAAGAAGATGTAAGAAGCAAAAAGAAAAAAACAACAGTTTCAATCCCTTCAACCGTCTGGTGTCTGGACAGTGTAGAAACCTAAGTCTGAAGCATCTTCAGACAGATAATGATAATATAAAAATCTGTTTTTTAAAGCCGTCTCCTCTTCATTTGCAAATCTTCAAGCAACAAATAACTCATCAAAAGAGAAGACGGTAAAGTAACAGCATCACCAACTCGTATTCTCTGAGCCTATAATAAGAACTGCAGCAGCAACAGCAGCAGCTCTAGCAGCAACAGCAGCAGCTCTAGAAGCAACTGAAGCAGCACTTGCTGCTACGAGTAGCATATGCAGCTGCAGCTGCAGCGGGCTCTATTAGGCAAGAAGAGCGCCTGTATATATTATGAGTATCTCTTTAAAAATCTGCATCAAGAGAGAATGTCTGATCTGCTTTATTCTGTACCATCACGCCGGCCTTCTGATAATCTCCTACACGTTTTTCAAAGAAGTTTGTTTTGCCTTGCAAAGAAATCATATCCATGAAGTCAAACGGGTTCCTCGCATTAAATATCTTCTGCCCCCCCAAGCATGTTAGCAGACGATCCGCTACAAACTCAATGTACTGCGACATTAAGGCTGAGAAAAAAAACAAGCACAAGACATTCACAACAACAAGCAAAAGGTAAGCAACACGCCACTATACATAATATATATATGTATATTTATATATATATTATGCAAGCAAATACAAAGCAAACGGCACGGAGAGGATAGACGGCATTTGCATGCATGCGGAATATGCATGCATGGCTGCACGAAGAAATTTCATGTGGGTATAAATATCATCCGATGGCTCTCTTATTGAAAACAGACAGCAGCAGAATGAAAGAAAACACCGACAGTGATGATACATCGGTAAATAAGTTTCCTTGTTCGTTTTGAAGATCTGCAATTCAAGCTTGGGTCGTTCTACGTCTGAACTTACTGCTATTCATGCCGATCAGATCGCAAGGAAGAGCATCGCAGATAAATGCCTTTTCTACGTCCACCGCCTCTCTTACGATTCTATTCAAAACATCCGTAGTGAGGCGGTTTTCTAGCATGGAATAGAGAAGGCATCCAAAGTCTGCATGCAGACCTTCATCGCGGCTGATCAATTCATTTGAGAAAGTTAGGCCTGCGAAACAAAAGGGAAAACGAAAATAATTCGAAATTCCATTCATAAAAAAGTACTTATGTCAAAATTTAATCATGAAATACCTCTGAAACCGAAGATCGTACAACAAGTTGAACTGGACAACTGCGTAAACTGCCTATACACCCGAAACAGGTGCTGTGGAAATGCGAATTTTTGACGGATTACCTGGCATAAGTCCTCTTTTTTTCAGCCAGAAGATGGCGCAGAAAGACCCTGAAAAGAGAATTCCTTCAACGCAGCAGAAAGCAACCAGACGCTCAGCAAAAGATTTCGTTTTGTTTATCCATTTCGCTGCCCACGCCGCCTTCACCGCCACCGCTGGTATATTGTGAATGGCGTTGAAGAGATGATCTTTTTCCTTTTCGTTTCGAATATAGTTATCGATTAAAAGACTGAAGAAACAAACGACAAAGAAAATTAAAAAAGAGGACAATTAACACATGCAGACGCCTCCCTTCTCCCGTCGTAAGCAACTTCTTCACACAAACAACAACACAGACAAAAAGAAATAAAGAATTTGCATGCATGCGCAGGCATGCACTGACACACGCATATATGCAGATGCTTCTTTTTCTTATAATCTGGTTTCTTTTTAGACAAGTACAAACAATGCACACAAACAATTCCGCCGCCTTGGCGTATATAAACAATTCCTAACGGTTGTTGCGGTGTATCTACAATTGAAATGCAGATTTCATTTACTAGAAGACTGACCTGTATGTCTCAGAATGAATGTTTTCTACTGCGATTTGAAAAGCGTAGAAGCTGCGCGCCTCAGGGATCTGCACCTCCGACATAAATCTCTCAGCCAAATTCTCCATAACGATGCCGTCGCTATGAGCAGACAAACAATACAAAATCAAACAAAAACTATATGAAGACATTTCTAACAAGAGAAGAAACAGACACTCCCTTGCATCCCTCGCTCTCTCAGCATATGAATAATGTATTATATCTCATACATTAAATATATAATATATAATACAATACAATAAAAATACGTGTTTATTACATATATACGGTGCCAACAAGATTTGTATTGAAAAAATTTCAAACCCACACCAGCATGCAGGCGTGCAGATCATGGCCGCAGATTAATATAAAATAGCAGACATTCTTTCGTATTTAAATGCAGCAATAATACGGAATAATAAAGAGATATTTCGGGGTTTACCTGGCGGCGAAGAAGGCGAGAACGTGTTTAATGAAGTGTCTTTCGTTGTCGTCCAGACGCCCCCAGTCTGTTAAATCTGCTTGCATATCAATTTCCTCTGCTGTCCAGAAAGAAGCCTCTGCCTTCTTGTACATCTCCCACACCTGTGAGTGCTGAATAGGCAGCAGAACCTGCATGCAAAAATATGCAAGACATAGTTGAAGATATATATATTGTTCTTCTCTCGCAAGCGATTTTCTTCATGGTTGTTTCATCATTAATCATGAAATTCACCAATGTGCAAACAACTGAAAATGAAGTGAAATTTTCGCACCCATCTTCGGGGGTTCGGTCTGAGCAACAGTTCGTCTCTTTCGCGTTCAATGAGACTTCTTGAATATGCTTTTTCTTCGTCTGTTGAGAGGCTCTCCGCTATTTCAGCCAACTTCTGCGGATCAGAGGCTGCCTCCAACACATCCTTTGCATCTTTCCAAGCAAGCGTCATTGGAACAACGATTGAAATGCAAGAATTCAACAATGAGAAAGATATACGTCCAAGCGGGGGTCCGTCGAGTGTACAGACACCGCGAGCACAGGAAGCTGATCGGAGGGCGATTAACACCTTTTGAGGAGGTTTCTGTCGCAATCTTCGACAGAAGAATGAAATAATATAAAAGATATTTCCAATGAAGCCTTTAATTCCTAAAATGATAGCCAGAAACCACGCAGATCACTGCAGCAGAAACTGGCGGCGCCGAGCATCGGCGAGCCTGCACGGCGAGAAGTTCACACCCAATTGGATTAAGGGGATGCTAGCTAAATATTATTTGCGTTCTTTTCAAGAATAAAACTCTGAAAACAACATAAATTATACAAATATGATGCACACTCTCTTCGTAATGCCGCCGCTCCAACACGCCAGGGTGGTGCTGCGTGCGGGGTTGGTGGCTGCTGCTGGGGGTTGTACGTTTTGTTGCTGCGTCATCTCTTCGATTTCAAATCAAATTATATACTTATTTAGAAAAGGTTTTATTATTTACACAAGTAAGTATGAAAAAAAACCTCAATGTCTTACTGCGTTGTCTCAATAAGACGGCAGAAACTGCTTAGCAGCTAACCCAACAACGCCTTGTACAATCCGTCGCTGTACTACTAAACTGCACCTTTCTGCTGTGTAACCCTAAAGCCTAAACCCTAAACCCTAAACCCTAGACCCTAAACCCTAGACCCTATCCGTTATACTTTCAGCGTTAATGAGAAAGCCTGTTGGGGGTGTTCTGTTCAGCCCCACACACAAGTGCTGCAGGATAACCCTTCACCTTTTTTCGAAGGGGGAGGGCTCTTGCATATCCTAGGGGCTTCATAAGCCTCAGCCGAATTAAAATATTAAAATAAATAAGAAATACACTTCATTATAGAGAAGGTAAATATGCAGCCGACACCCCTTCTGGCCTCAGGCGCACTCAGCAGAGTTGTAGAGGCTTCAGGGTTATAAGAAAAGAAGCAGTTTGTCTCTCTTCCTCTCTTTCTGTCTGTCTGTCTCTCTCTCTCTCTCTCTGTCTCTCTCTGTCTCTCTCTGTCTCTCTTTATCTCTTTCTGCGTGTATGTCTTTGTCTATCTGCGCCTGTCTCTCTCCCTTAGTCTTTATGGGTGCCTCTGTCTTCGTTTCTATATATCTGTTTCTATCTATCTGTCTCTGTCTGTCTCTGTCTGTCTCTGTCTGTCTTTCTATGTCTTTGTCTGTCTCTCTTCTTCTCTCTAGCGCGCCTCCTTCTAGAGGCCAGAGTAGCAACAAAGCAATAATAATAATAATAATAATAATAATAAGAATAATAATAATAATAATAATAGTAATAGTAATTATTATTATTATTATTGTTATTGTTGTTATTATTATTATTGTTATTATTATTATTATTATTATTATTATTATTATTATTATTATTATTATTATTATTATTATTATTCTTATTGTTAGAGGTTAGCCCCATTCAATGCATGCACAAACATCTGTGGCTGGCGGCAGTCCGATCGTACCCACACCTCTAAACCCTAAACCCTAAACCCTAAACCCTAAACCCTAGCCTCTACGCACCCATCCAATTCAAATAATGCATTCAATACGCCTGCAGCAACTCTGTAGAACTTTCATTAACTAACATATATATATATATATATATATATAAACGAGCCGCAGCAACCCCGCTGTGTCTGCGGTGTACAGACAGCTTAAC